CACTGGGAGTTTCAGTCTATAGTATGGCTAGGACTGCCTGGCAGAATTTCATCGAAGAGCTCGAATATTCGCTTTCTTTTGGCTGCTGACGTTATTCGAAGAACTTGCACATTTTTGATTGAATCGCGTCATAAGTTTGCAAATCCTCAGTTGTTGAGAGTCGGCTTTTACTGCGTGGCAGCGATCAAAACTGATAGATGGCAGGATTATTGCGACGAATGATGCAGCTGTCGCTAAACGCTGTACATAAATGGTAAGAAGCCTTTTCTTTTGCAAATAGGATTAGTCATCAGCTATACAGAAGTTTTTGCTATCTAATGGCAGATCTTTCAGCTATTCTCACAACATTGTGCTTCTCAATGCTTTATCTTTAGGTATGCTTACATTCTCGAGGGTCGAAGCCAGCGTCGTCAGCATAAAAAGAGGGACGAGCCAAGGATGGGGTCAGTATCGTGCCACTCGGGCAGTGGCTTGTGTCACGGAAAGGGCGAGCAAGAACAGACAAGATCAAGAACTGGGTCAAGAAGCATACACCATAAAACTGGTGCATCGGCTCATTAAGGACAAGAGCTATTTCAAGCTGAGAAAAGAGGAAAGGACCAGGTTAGTTTGGAACTCACCTCGTCTCTCCGTTTAATAGATCAAGATCTTAGTCTCTCTCAAGACCTCAAGAACAGTCCTCTTCGAGACTAACTAGAAAATACCCCTCGAGAACAGGGTGAATATCGCTTGAGGATTCCTCAACGGCACGTCGAGGATTCTCTGCCCGATCAGAGACGATCTCTCGCGCGGACATTCACACTCGCCATGCGCGTGCCGTCTGTGCTCTCCGCGCGGATGTTCACTCTCGGCACTACTCTCGCATGGTAGAGAGCTATGGTCGAGGAAATCCTCGACCGTTATTCACCCTGCTCGAGAATCGGAAACTGTCTATGGCATCGAAGGTTGTTACCTATAAACGGCTTTTGACCACTAATTGCAACAAGTTAGACCACATCATCTCGGTCCACAAAGAGGATGAGCTCATGAAATTCCGCTAGATTCCAGCGCCTCTCAAGAACTACATCTTGATAACGTGCAACGTCTTCAAGAAGCGATCTTAGCTATCGAGATCGTAACGAACAAGCTGGAGAGAACCCTTTTTGAGTTTGCCTCAACGATGGATGACGAAGCCCTCTGTCAGGGGGAAGAAGCGGAAGAATTCGATACGTATTCCATCAAAGTAGACACAACCTTGTCTGGGGCGTTTCATTTCGCTGTAATACTGCAGGCAAAACTTCGAGCTTCACTTCTACTCCAGTTGTTTCATCCCCACATGGTGCAGTCAGCACCCCGCCAACCACGCACGTAAGGCCAGTGAGCTAACTCCCGTCCCCATACCTATATTCGAAGGAAACATATGGGAACGGGATAATTTTTGGGGGATTTTTCAGACGAATATCCACTGCCCAAGATATTCCAGAAATGGTCAAATTCAACTATCTGCTTAACACTTTTAAGGGTGGAGCTAGGGAGTCTATCAAGAAGTTCCAGGTGACGGCCAATGAACTATTATAGGGCGATAAATTCCCTCCAAAATAAATGTAATAATAAGTGAGCCCTGGTCAATAATATTGAGAGGCTCGATTCCTGTGTTTTGCGCACTCCCTCGATAAAAGATCAGCGCACACTTTTGGAGAACCTTCGAACGACTGTGGTCCAACTTGCAAGAAAAACAAGAGGACGTGAGCAGTTCATGGCTTATCAAGAAAGTTCTCACCAAGTTTCCGGACTCCACAAAGCAAAAGGTCATTTCGAAGAAGCAAGAACAGACTGCAGAAACAGCATTTACATGCAACACCTTTTCAAGCTTGTCGAGGAAGTTCTCACCAATGAAGAATTGATTCTGCAATTCACGGACAAGAAGTCCCCATCCCCAGGATTCCTCTTTTTCTAGCAAGAAGCAAAGTTTTACTGGTCCATGGAAAAAGAATTGCATGTACTGCGGGAACGATCATTCGTCTAGTAGTTGCACAAAGTACGCAACTGCTCAAGACCGCTCCCAATATCTGCGGCAAAATCGATTGTGCCTGATGTGCGCTTCATCCCAACACAAGACGGCATACTGTAAAGGGCGCCCCTGCTTAAAGTGCGAGGGGGCGCACCATTCCTCTTGTTGTTTCTCAACAAAGGGCAAGACGGCGCCGCAGCTCCATAATATGTAATGATTCCAATTCCAAAAAGCGCGAGGGCAAGGTAATGATGCGATCTATTAGCAAGACGACCGGACAAAAGGAAGAGAATCAGAACCAAAGATCCGCTCAAACGTAATAACCTTCAAAATGTCGCCTGACATAGCTATTGCAGCGCGGCCAGTCTTACATGCCCATCTTTCAGGCCGGTCGTGCTTACCTACAGGAGAAGTAACAATCCTAGCAAGACCCACAATCTGAGCACTCATGAAGGTAGACGTCCTCATCGATACGGGTGCAGAGCTATCGTTCGTGGATGAAGCCCTGGCACAAAAACTAGTTTGCCCGTACTTAAAGAGAGAAAAATCCGGATTAATACCTTTGGCACCAAAGAAGTCAAAGAGAAACAGTGCGAGTTAGTACGTTTGGACCTGTGGGACGACGAAGGGACCCCACACAGCCTCGAGTTATTGACGTACGAGACTTTGACACAGCCCTTCCATCCTACTCAACTATCGATTCAAGACCAGGAGTATTTGCAGTCCTTGGACCTAACGATTTCACTCCAAGACCAGAGCGACTATCAACCCCATGATCCTACTCGGCTGTGACCTCTTATGGCCGTTCATACGCGCTGATATACCGGCAGTCCAATTGCCTTAAAGGCTAAACTCCGGGATAAAACGTGGTACTCATCCTGTTCAACTATGAAGTACTGGGTGCTAAGTGAATCGAAGCTAAAGAAAAAAGCAGGAAGTACTCTCAAAGAAGTCCAAAATAAGAAATTCTCTTCGTTAGTCGCTTAGAAGCCAGGGCTGGGAGAATTACGTGTCTTGGACGTGTCTACAGCAACTGTTGGCTTTATGCCAGCAACCGACACGGCTACAAAAAGTCAGCAATGAAAACTGATTGCTTCTAATTTCGCTATTTTTTCTATTTACCTGTGCTTTTTTGTTTTTTCCTATCTCAAAAATTTGATTATCACTAGAATGAATGACTAGGTTCTCGATAATGGTCTTAACATAGGCTTTGATGTTGGTTTTCGCAGTTGAAATCCGCTAAATATTCCTCTACGACCTTCCAAATAACAACTTAACATCTAGTGTTCCATGTGGTTGTTTGGAAGATCGCACGGAAAGTGGGCGGGCTCAATGGGGTTGGGGCGGCGCCAATGCTCCAACCTAGGCTCCTAGCGCCTAAACCTTGTCAAATCGCCCCGCCACTTCTGCACATGGTCTGCCCTTGCGTACTGCTGCATATTTGACGGGGGAAACCTAAATTTCGCCAGAAATCCCGAACTTTGCTTTCGAGGAATGAACGTCATGCCAGCAAGCGTGGGGCACTAATTTCAGGGAAATCTAATGTCCAATCAGTCGTGGTAGCTCCATATGCCTCAACATCTGTAAGACGACATAGACCTCTGGGACAGCATCTGGTCAATGAATACCGTCCAATCAATTTGCTTGACCAGCTCAAATGACTCTAAATTTCCCAAGAAGAACGAGACGAATAGGAAAAATATTGGGCCATGGATGCTACTGGAGCAGGAAGAGTTTCAAGAAGCTCAGCAAACTGCTCAAGAAGCGCTCGACAAGAAGGTCTGGGACCATTTTAATTCGACTATAGAACGCAGAAAAGACTGCTACTATGTTCGTGTTCCGTGAAAGGAATCCAATGTTACCGGACAACAAAGCGTTAGCGTACAGGCGTCTCAATAGCATGTGGACATTTCTGAAAAGGGATGAGGACCTGCTTGACCAATACCACAATATTTTTCAAGAACAACTGGACAAGAACATTGTCGAGATAGTGGACGAGAATGAAGCGGGGGAGCAATTCAAGTTCACTACATCCCTCATCAACCGGTGCTGACCCATAAAACTACAAATAAGCTAATAGTAGTTTTTGAGGCTTCTGCTCATTACAAAGGGCGTCCCTCTTTGAATGACGTCCTAAACTTCTTCTTCTTCTTCTCCCTAGCGTTAGTCCCGCGCAGTCGCAGGGTCCGCTGTCTTTGTCAGTCGTCGCCACTTTGCTCTGTCCAGGGCATCTTCTGCTGTGGCCATGACTTCACTTAGGTCCTTCTTGATCACGTCTCTCCACCTCTTCTTTGGGGCTCCTCGCGGTCGCTTGCCTTGCACTTCGAAGTCCATCGCTGTTCTTATCGGATGATCCTGTGGCCTCCTTAGCACATGCCCATACCATCGCAGACGCTGTTCCCGTACCTTCAGCTGGACAGGGGCAGTCTGCATGACCGCTCTGACATCCTCGTTTCTGACCCTGTCCAGCCGCGTCCAGCCGCAGGCCCATCTCAGCATCCTCATCTCAGCGGAGTGAAGCTGCCTTTCGTGATTCTTGTTCAGGGGCCAGCACTCGCTGCCGTATAGCATCGCAGGCCTTACCACTGTCCGGTACACCTTCCCTTTGAGCGTTCTGGAGCACCTTCGATCGCAGAGGATTCCAGTGGACTCCATCCATGCAGCGTTGACCCGAGCCTTCACTGCCTGATCCACACTGCCGTCGGCTGCCAGATCGCTCCCAAGGTATCGGAAGTCCTCCACTCTTTCGATGGTCTCACCATGGCCGTCCACGATCGGCTCTGCACCCTCTTCGGAGCTCAGGAACTTGGTCTTCTTGACATTCAGCCGGAGCCCGCCTTCTGCCAGGACTTCTGCCATTTCTGCACCTTGGCTTGAGTTCCTCTCTGCTATCCGCTATCAGGGCGATGTCGTCAGCGTAGAGGATGGTCTTCAGTGGTCCTTCCATGAGGCCCTTCACCATGGTATCTAGTGTTAGGAGGAACAGGAAGGGGCTCAGAGCTGACCCTTGATGCACCCCAACCGTGATGTTTACTCCTTTGTTAGGCCGTGAGGGGTGCGTATGGCTGCTTTGGCTCCTTCGTACATGTCCTTCACCAGCGAGATCAGGTGTTCTGGCACGTTCGTTCCCTGAGCGACCTCCATAGCACTGCTCGCGGTAGCCGGTCGAACGCCTTCTCCAGGTCGAGGAAGGCTAGGTAGCAGGGTCGGCGCTTTTCTCGATACTTCTCCATCACTTGCCTGCGATGAAGATGGCATCCGTTGTAGACCTTTCGGGCATGAACCCGAACTGGGGAGATCCCGCAGCTTCGATCGACCAGCCGCTCGTACAACTTCATGGTATGCGCAGTCAACTTGATCCCGCGGTAGTTGGAGCAGTCCATCGCGTCGCCCTTCTGTTTGAAGATGGGGACGATGGTACTTGTCCTCCATGCATCCGGCATCTTTCCTTCCACTGTTACCTTGTTCAGGAAGCTGGTGAGCCACCTTATGCCGTACTCTCCGAGCGCCTTCCATGCCTCGATTGGCACCCCATCTGGGCCAACCGCCTTTCCAACCATTCTCCCAAGTGCACCTAACTATAGAGAATACTCTCTATGATCGTAGATTTCTAGGGTTGTATTTGTTTTATATAACCGTGGATTCAAGGGATGGACTCCCTGTTTCTGTAGTGCTGTGTCGATTCATACCAGCTGTCTCCACTCAGGCGTATCCATGCATGCTTGCGTGTGTGGTGCGCTCTGTGTGTGTGCGGTTGGTATCCTGCATGTCGGCACAGCCAAAAGCTTGCATTCAAGTGACTGGGAAGTACATGGGAGGCGATTCGGGGCCGCCTCCAAAAAATAAGCCCCTTGTTCCGCTCCAGGATAGCGTGGCTAACTACCTGGAGGTCTATCCTA